AACTTTACAATTTTACAGTTCGAGTTTATATTATATTTTTCATGTCGTGTCAAAATGGCCGAGAGAAAGTAATTGTTATAAATATACCTTATTGGTCCAAAAGTATTTCTTGGTAGCCTGCTTTTGTTGATTTTTATTTATTTTATTTTATATTTATATTTACATAAAAGAGATTTAAATTACTTACATAGTGTTATTGCATTCACATCTTTTAAAATAAGTGAGTCAAAATATTTAAAATCATGTTTGGCGTGCAATAATTTTTGTTAAAAGATTTTTGGGTTTAAAGATGTAATCAACAAACACTCATTAATTTATTTTTGATAGTTTTATTACAAAGAAAAATAAATTTTTACCTTATATATATATATGCGCACATGATTAAAAATCCTAAATTTAATCAAGTATTTTTTTAAAAAATTTAAAATACTTTGACATGTTTTTTTTAAATATTGTATGAATTTTATAAATTTGTAAAATTCTGAAGGATTTTGACCCATATTTTAAAAATACAAAAAAAATTATTTTATTTATTTTAATATATAAAATTATAAACTTATACATAAAACATGTTCATAAAAGAATAATCAAAAAAATATTTCTTTTAATATACAAGATTATAAACTTGTATATAAAACATATTCCTAATATTAAGTAAAAAATAACTTATTTTATTTTTTATGCTGGCATTAAAACGATTAAATTTTTAACCTTGTAAGATAAAAACATCCTTATCAAGGATATCTTTTCTTAAACATTAGACATGTTTAATTAGAAAATACAATATTTTTTTAATTTATATTAGATAAATAAACAATACATTTTATTTCAGGTAAAATGTACTAAAAGTGTTAAAATATTTTCTTTACATAATCAATCCCAGACTTCAGAATCAGTTAATGTTTCTATTACCTAAAATACTAAGCAAGAACTATTTTTTTTATTGATAAAATACAAATTTTTTTTGTTCTTTTCATTCATATCATTCTCAATTATCTTGATTAAGGGAAATAATTATTGTGACACTGCACATATGAGCCAGACACTATGCTAGGAGGATCCAGCAAATAAAAATAAAAAAAACCCATAAATTGATACGTCAAGTGAAGAGGGGAGAAAGGCTGTCTCTTGTACTGCAGTCATAGTAACTGATTTAAATTCCAGAAAATGAAATGGCTGCTTTTTGCAATGAGAGATATTACCGGTGACATTTAAGTCTAATCGTTTTCAGAAGTTGAAAACGGCCCCACAACCCAACACAGAATGATCAGTATATGATGCAGAAAGGAATGGGGACAAGAACACTTTCCAGTCACCAAGCATAATACTAGTAGCTCGTGCCTAATGTCCTAGACTGTTAAAAAGGAATTTCAGATTGCTGGGGTTAACACAGGAACAATTAGGTATAGGAACCAAGTTGAAACTTGGATCAACCAAAAAGATGGTAGAAAACATTAGTAGTACCAAACTCTCTAGAACAGAAACTTCCCTGGGTTCAGCTATCCAAATAACAGTTTTTTTAAAACAACTAGCATAAGGACTTCATAACCACACTCCATCGTACAAGCATGCACTCTAGAAATTAGATAAACAAAAGTGTCTAGCGGTGTCTGAGTGAAAATTGAAGGCTTGTATGTGCATTAAGCCTAGTCTACACAAAAGCATCTCATGAGAATTGCACAACATGCGTAATCAAGGGTTGAATAACATAACAATGTCTTCCCACCAGTTACAAAAGGAATGATTTTTTTCTTTTAGACATCTCACAACACCAACAATTGACAGAGGAAATACTACAATAATACATTCACAACATTTTTCCTTTTCCCCATTTCACACTGTGTCCAATTTCTCTTTGTTTTCACAACCCACCAGCAATGTAGTATAGTGATTATATTTCTAAAACAATTCTGTAAAATGCCCCAATTGAAATTCAAGATTCGCGAAAAGCGAAAAACATACGATTTTAAGCTCTTAAATAAAACACAACAGACTGATTTGCGAAAAGCAAAAAGCAAAAAACATACGATTTTAAGCTCTTAAATAAAACACAACAGACTTGGCTCTGAGAAACCACAATTACATACACAAAACAAAATTTGCCCACCACTAAATCAAATCCCTAACACGAGCCCATCAGTGTGCCCTATATTCTATGATATCAATCAATGAACATGCTGATGAGACCTAAATTTTCACTTCATTAACACTGTCATGATCACAAATAGCCCAGCAAATAGCAAACACATCAAAACACAAAACTGTAACAATCAGAAATTAGAATAAACCTAGTTATTAATAATAATACTAAATCATTATCATCATATAATCACCATAAAAAACCATAAGTTAAAATATCCAGATCTTAACATAGTAAACACCAAAATTAAAAAGACAAAAAACCCTAAAAGCATACCAAATTTGAAGCTAATAACCCTAATTAGATCAAGCTTCAGCCTCAGCAGAGCTCGAAACCTCTTCGTTCGCCACCGCCTTCGGCGTCACATCAGCGCTCGCTGTCTCCGTCGCACTATTATCACCATTGGCACCCGATCCAGCCCGAGCCTTGACGGTCTCTAACATCCGTTTACTGATCTCCTTAGAGTAAAGCTGGAGAACCTCAAGCCCGTCCTTCTCGGAGGAAGCCACGGCGGTGGCGAAAGAGAATGCCTCCTCCTCAATGCGGCGGGAGGCTTCGGAGGCCTCTCCTTGAGGTAGAGTACCGTAGCGCTTGGAGAGAACGGACGTGGTGGATAAGGTCTCGATTAGACGGGAAATAATTGCGTCGCGAGTGCGTTGAGTCGGTGGCCAAATGCTAAAAGAAAAGCCGCTGCTTGTCTGCTTCTTTGCACCCTCCGCAGAGGAGTGGTCGTCTGATGGCAAAGAAAAGCCGCCGCTTGCCTGCTTCTTTATACCCTCCGCAGAGGAGTGGTCGTCTGATGGCGGTGCTGTGGTGGAGACGGTGGGGGTCGTTTCGGCGTCCGTCATTTTGGGGGTCTTTTTGCAAGAGAGGCGAGGGGTGGAGAGAGAAAAGGATGGAAGTACTAAGGGTGTGTGAAATGTGAAGGGGGAATTGGTGTGGCGTCGTTTTATGATGGGGTGATGTCGTGTGACGGGTCACCTTAGATCTAATTCGTGACAATCGGGAGTGTTCAATGCCACGTGGACGGCTGTGGAAAACAAAATTATGGCTAATGTTCCAAATTAAAAAAAAAGAAAAAAAAGAAATTAACTATTGATACGTTCCTGCGTCACGAAGATATATAAATTTGTAAAATATCATTTAATCTTCAGCTTTTATTTTTAAGCAAATTTCATATTCAAAATTGGATTATCTTTTTTCTTTCTTTCTTGGTTTTTGATTTTTTAGAGAAGCATTCTCATTAAACCTAGTGAGTTAGGTTTTAAAATAAATTAAATAGAAATTGAGATTGTGAACTTGACTAGTTTATCTACAATTTCATTGATCTAGTTAAGCTTTTTAAAATAATTCAATTTTAATTTTTAATTTTTTTTTGAAATTATATAATTTAGATTTACTTTGATTTATCTTGAACAGGCGAATTTAATAAATTTGGAGATAAAAAGCTATATTTTAAAAGAACAATAATAAACACACTTTTTTTTAATAACAACAAGGAACGAAATTTCACTAAAAGAAAACAAAAAACTACGCAATGATGCTTAATTGACAGCACAAAAATGACCTCTTCCCTGTCTTTGGAGGCAATGAATCAAGGAATTGTGTATAGTTTAAATTGTTAAAACTTTGAAGCGCGACCTTCCTCTAATGTAACCGGTAATCTAAGACCAGGCCATGACAGCAAGTAATTTTTGCGACTGGTTTTTTTTGGGATTGTGTATAGTTTAAATTGTTATTTGTTTAAAAATATACTAAAATAATTTTTTTATTTTTAAAAAACTATTTTTTACATCATCATGATCTAAAATTTTTAAAAAAAGTCATTTTAAATAAAAAAAAATTTAAAATTCTTAAAAATACGATTGACACCATGATTTCCAAACATGTTCATAAGGTTGAGATAAGAAGAAAAACAGTTTTTCAGTCACATAATTCGAGATTGATAATGAATCTGAAATTGTGTTTTTAAAATTTAATTTTTTAATTTAAAATTATTTTTTATTTTTCTATATATATATTTTTTAAAATATTTTAATATATTTCAAAATAAAAAAACTCTTCAACAAAATTACCAAAAATAACAAAGATTGTAAGGAACTAATTTGGATCTGTAATGATTATTTTGCAAAGGTGATCAGACATAATTCCCAGCTACGCAAGGACATAAATCATGGACATGCGAGCATTGAACATTGCTTTCCAGGGCTTAGCTTTAAGCATGGTGATTCCTGACCCCTCAGACATGTCTACTTCCTCTTCACGAATTCTCTCCCACTCAAAGCATTGAATCAAGGAAGCCAATGCTAATCCCAACACCCTATTAGCAAGGCCAGTCCCGGGACATGACCTCCTCCCCACTCCCTCTGTGCAACGCTAAATTTGAACCCCTTACAAGTTGCAGCAAGTGGAGTTTTGAAAGCGTTCACTCACGCATGCACTAAACTATATAGAGCTGCATCTACACTAAAAAAAGAAGAGACTACATAGAACTGTTCAAGAAATCATTAAGAAGCTGGAAACTGCTGTTGCGTAAAAAATTCTGTTTCTATGAACCTAATAATTTAGTTCTTTAAGTTGAGATAATTTTTGATATAATATCTGATATTTATTTAAATAATCACTAGTTCAAATCTCGCGAATTTTGTTCGGAGTGGCTAAATCAGACATTAGAATTAGTTAAGGGAAGTTACATGATCAGATATTGGGACTTTCTAGTCAGATTGCAAGCAAAACATGCGACTGGAATTAAGCAAGCCAAACTACATTCTGGTTCGTTTGTTCATCAAAGTTGGGACAGGTTTTCATTGCTTATATATATTATTGTGGATGATATGAAAAAAGTATTTCCTTTGTTAACAAAGAAAGCATAATTGAGGAAAATCATTCATTTGCCTCACATAGAAGAGAGGAGGTTGACCATGGATTGGCGAGGTCTGCATAACGCCTCCAGTGGTTCAGCTTTGGGCATGGTAAGCCCTGTTCCCTCTGTCAGATTAATCTCCTCTTTGCTAACCCTATCCCACTCAAAGCACTGAATCAAGACACCTAGTGTCAGGCCTATGATTCGCTTGGCTAGACCAGCCCCAGGACAAGCCCGCCTTCCAGCACCAAATGGAAGCAGTTTATAACCTTCACCTTCTCCGCCTTCAAATCTCTCTGGCATGAATTTTGTTGGCTCCACCCACAGCTTGGTATCTCTATGAATGCTCCAAGTATTGACCAGTAACATTGTGCCTCGGGGCACATGAAATCCACTAATAGTGCAGTCCTCGGAAGATTCATGTGGCAAAAGAAGCGGCGTGGGTGGAAAGAGCCTCAATGTCTCGTTAATTATGTTTTGGAGGTAACTGAGCTTTGTTACATCTACTTCATCCAATATGTGCTCTGTTCCAACAATAGCATCTATCTCTTCAGAAGCCTTTTGCATTGTTTCCGGATTGTTAAGGAGAAGCGACATTGCCCACTCTAAGGTAGCTGCTGAAGTTTGGCTTCCAGCGGTTAGTGTTGTCTGCACATGCTCAGATGTGTTACCAATATGCCTTCAGAATGAAGATATCAGATAAACAGCAATATTAGTAGAAATTATCAATAGTAAAGAGCCTATTGCACGTCACCTAACTGAATGATCACTGGTGATCCCCAACAGTTGTCTCCAGTCAATTTGTTGAAATTGGGATCATAAGTTCTAGAGATTTTCTTACCATGATTACACCTTTTATGGTTTGATCAGTATAGAATTCAGGTTCTGTCTCTTTCAACGATAACATAACATCAATAAGTGTCGTGTTTCTCTTTTGGTTGCCCAAACCGTTATTCTTCTTGGTGGACTGAGATGACTGACTCCTCACTTTCTGGTGCTCCTCGATGAGATCCTGCAAGAATTTGTCCATCTTCTTCATCAACCCCATCATTCTCTTCTCCAAACCTTGGAAATCTATCCATTGCAGTACTGGAAAGAAATCATTCATGTTAGAACTCCCTCGCAGCGCCTCCATTTCTTTTATAATATTCTGAAACTGTCTCGCTTCTTCATCCACAACTTCTTTTCCATAATAACGTTTTCCTGCAATCATTCTCATCACAACATTGAATGTAAGCTCCATAAAACTTGTTGTAAGCCCCACCTTAGCCTGTTGTTTGCAGGAATCCCGAAACAATTGCTTTAGCAATAGCTGAACTTCCTCTTTTCTAATATCGGAGAACGAGGCAACACGACTTGTAGAGAAGAGCTCAATGGTTGTTAAGCGCCTGAGGTTGCGCCAATGCTCACCATAAGAAGAGAAACCCACGGTTGTGGAGTTGTAATTGAGGTGTTTTCCAGCTAGTGTACGAGGGCGGTTAGCAAATATTACATCTTTTATAGTAAAGCATTCTTCAACGGCTGATGGTAAAGAGATTACAAGGACTTTACGAGTCCCAAATCGGAGAAACAGTATGTCACCATACTTCCTAGAAAGCTCGCATAGAGTTCTATGAATAGGTTGCTTTAATAAATGGAGATGCCCTATGATAGGATGAGAAGGTGGACTAGGTGGGAGGTTTTTGGGATTTCCAAGCTTGCATATAACAAGCTTTGATGCGAGCACAAAGAAGAAGAACAGGGCTGCAAAGTTGAACCAGTGAGATACCTCCATCTTCCTTTGTGCAGGCTTCTGCGTAAGAAGGATGGATGTTAATAAAATTCACGATAAAACAGCAGTAATTAGTATGAAGAAATTACAGATATAAGCTATGATGGACAGGATCTAGAGATTCAGACTGATTCGATTACACTTCCCGCTATGAAATCTTCAAGTCAAAAGTCTTGAATCCTAGAGGAACTTTGCAGATATCACAATCATTGACCTAGAGAGTGCTTAGATTAGCCAGACACAGAAATTTTGATTGCAAAGGTAAAGTTTATATAGTTGGCCGGCCACTAAAACCTGCAAAAGCTAAATAATTGATAGAGACAGCTAAAATAAATTGGCCTTTGCGTGTATTTTCTGTCAGTGCAGTAGCCCTTGTCATTTTGCATTAGCTAATGGCATTGGAATTGAAAATTGAGATGTCCAATTCAAAATAAAGGTGAAGCAGAACACGGGAAAAGGAGATAAACTCAATTGTCTATACAATCATAAACCTTTGCGTGTATTTTCTGTCAGTGCAATAGCCCTCGTCATTTTCTATTAGTAATTAGTATGATATATTTTAATTAATAAACAGAGTTCTAGTGTCGGCTAACTTGAATTTTTATTTTTTTAATTGATTGGAGACGTTCTGACATTGGTTCAGTTCTTCTTCCTGTCTTATTAAACCTGGTACAGCGAATTTACTTGGTAAATGAACTGGTCTGGATTTATTAAAATACTGAACAATATAATAACTCAATAAAACGTGATTGACCCATGATTTGTGTAAATCTCAATAAGATTTTATGTTTTTTTTAAATATAATTTTTCATATTTTTTAATTAGTTATTAATACTTTTTAAAATTTACTATATAAATATAAGAAAAATATTTTATTTTTTATTATGAAATTTAAAACTTTTTAGTATATATATTTTATATATTAAAAAAAAATTATTTTTTAATGTGAGATTTAAAATTTATATATATATATATATTATGTTTTTCAAAAATTATGTTTTTTCAATATAAGATTTAAAACTCTTTTATATATATATATATATTCAATAATTATAAAAAAATTATTTTTTTAATATGAAATTTCAAACTCATTCATATATATATTTTATATTCTAAAAACAAAATATATTTTTTAAATATAAAATTTAAAACACTTTAATATATACACACACTTACTGTGTTCTTAAAATTACAGTAGATTGTGTAATGCTTTACCTACAGTCAAATAATAAAATACAGATCTTTCAATTGTAGAGGAACTAATTTGGATCTGTAATGATTATTTTGCAAAGGTGATTAGACAGAATTTCCAGCTACGCAAGGACATCAATCATGGACAGGCGAGCATTGAACATTGCTTTCAAAGGCTTAGCTTTAAGCATGGTGATTCCTGACCCCTCTCTATTTCCTCTTCACGAATTCTCTCCCACTCAAAGCATTGAATCAAGGAAGCCAATGCTAATCCCACCACCCTATTAACAAGGCCAGCCCCGGGACATGACCTCCTTCCCACTCCAAATTGTATCAATTTCAAACCTACGAAAGATTGCACTGAAATATCTTGAGGTCAAGGTGCAGCAACCCTCCCAAATCGAAGGAATCATCACCAAAAAACCTTCGGCTATATAGAACTGTTCAAAAAACATTCAATTGGACGGTGTAGAGAGGTCTTATAACAGGACGGAATTAAGCCTTCGGCTATGGAGTTACTGGCAAAATCTTCAGAATTAATGTGCAATCTCATAAGCAGGAACCTGGTCACCCCGTAAACATAGCTCTGTGCATCGCTAAATTTGAACCCCTTGCAAGTTGCAGCAAGTGGAGTTTTGAAAGTGTTCACTCACGCATGCACTAAACCATATAGAGCAGCATCCACATTAAAAAAGTAAAAGACTATATAGAACTGTTCAAGAAATCACTAAGAAGCTGGAAACTGCTGTTGCGTAAAAATTTCTGTTTCTATGAACCTAATAATTTAATATCTAATATGTTATTGATGAAATAATCACCAGTTAAAATCTAGCAAATTTGTTAGGAATGACTAAATCAGACATTAAAATTAGTTAAGGGAAGTTACATGATCAGATATTGAGTTTCTAGTCAGATTGCCAGCAAAACATGCGACTGGAATTAAGCAAGCCAAAACTACATTCTGGTTCGTTTGTTCATCAAAGTTGGGACAGGTTTTCATTGCTTATATATATATATATATATATATATTGTGGATGCAATGAAAAAAGTATTCCCTTAGTTATAGAATATCTCAGAGCAAACAAAGAGAGCATACTTGAGGAAAATCATCCATATGCTTCACATAGAAGAGAGGAGGTTGACCATGGATTGGCGAGGTCTGCGTAACGCCTCCAATGGTTCAGCTTTGGGCATGGGAAGCCCTGTTCCCTCTGTCAAGTTAATCTCCTCTTTGCTAACTCTATCCCACTCAAACTCGCATGGAAGAGAGGAAGTTGACCATGGATTGGCGAGGTCTGCATAACGCCTCCAGTGGTTCAGCTTTGGGCATGGTAAGCCCTGTTCCCTCTGTCAGATTAATCTCCTCTTTGCTAACCCTATCCCACTCAAAGCACTGAATCAAGACACCTAGTGTCAGGCCTATGATTCGCTTGGCTAGACCAGCCCCAGGACAAGCCCGCCTTCCAGCACCAAATGGAAGCAGTTTATACCCTCCACCTTCTCCACCTTCAAATCTCTCTGGCATGAATTTTGTTGGCTCCACCCACAGCTTGGTATCTCTATGAATGCTCCAAGTATTGACCAGTAACATTGTGCCTCGGGGCACATGAAATCCACTAATAGTGCAGTCCTCGGAAGATTCATGTGGTAAAAAAGGCCAATTTGTTTTAAGTTGACCATGGATTGGCGAGGTCTGCGTAACGCCTCCAGTGGTTCAGCTTTGGGGCATGGGAAGCCCTGTTCCCTCTGTCAGATTAATCTCCTCTTTGCTAACCCTATCCCACTCAAAGCACTGAATCAAGACACCTAGTGTCAGGCCTATGATTCGCTTGGCTAGACCAGCCCCAGGACAAGCCCGCCTTCCAGCACCAAATGGAAGCAGTTTATACCCTCCACCTTCTCCACCTTCAAATCTCTCTGGCATGAATTTTGTTGGCTCCACCCACAGCTTGGTATCTCTATGAATGCTCCAAGTATTGACCAGTAACATTGTGCCTCGGGGCACATGAAATCCACTAATAGTGCAGTCCTCGGAAGATTCATGTGGTAAAAAAGGCCAATTTGTTTTAGCAGTAGCCCTTGTCATTTTGCATTAGCTAATGGCATTGGAATTGAAAATTGAGATGTCAAATTCAAACTAAGGGTGAAGCAGAACAAAGGGAAAAGGAGATTAACTCAAATTCAAACTAAATTGAGATGTCATAATTTTATAATTAATATATAAAATTATGATATATATTAATTAATAAACAGAGTTTTAGGGCCCGCTAACTTGAATTGCTTTTTTTTTTTAATTCTTTACTTAGGTGTCTGCAGTATTGATTGGAGACGTTCTGAAATTGATTCAGTTCTCCCAGGCATGTCCTTTGGAGCCAGTGTTGGAATCTGGAATGCCCTCGTAAGTCGTAACTTGATCACCAAATGGAACCAAAGCCTAGGCATCTTCTCCTTTTTTTATTATTTTTCTTTGTGAGGTGTTCTCGATGTAATGGCAGACATTTGCTTTTAAATGGAAAGATCAGGCGTCGCTCTTTGTTCCACAAGCAGTTTCAAAACAGAGAGGAGGCCCTCGTCATTTATACGTCCCATTCTTATCATCAGAACTCCTTTGCAGTGTCCAAAATTAGCGAGGAAGGAATATTGCACCCAAAACAATGATCAAATCAATGATTTTTCCCATTTAAATTTCAAATCATGGATTTCCCATGTCAATTTACCGAACAGACCAGGTTTAACAAGATGATCCATGATAACATTGTCCTTGTTTGTTCTTATATATTTATATCGGCTGCACAATTATAAAGAGATTTTGTTGATTCCTGTTTTAAATAAGTTCTTGTGGGTGATTCTATCATATTCCAAAGAAAAGATCTCCCACTCAATAAATCGAATCCGGTTTTACCAGAGTAGTAGGCCATGGAATCCATTATTAGATCATAACTCTCTAATTTCTAATGATTTTATGGCCCAATGTATCCCAAACATCAAGATTTATATACTGAAGAGTGAGAAGATTTATAAGTCGGAAATTCTTAGATTAAAAAAAAATAAACACTTGAAGATATTGATTAATCATTATTTTAAATACTAAATAACTTTTTATTTATATATTTTAAATTTTAGAACATTATTAGTATCTATATATACTTGGGATGGATTTTCATGAGCTACGAGAGTTTATTGAGAAATTTCTTCATCATACAATTTACAAGGTGGGGAAATGCTTAAGCATGGCTTAGCGAGGTTAACACAAGACCTCCGAGGGCTCAGCCTTGGGCATAGTGAGTCCTATTCCATCTTCCATGTTCATTTCCTCTTTGCCAATCTCGTTCTATTCAAACGATTGAATTAAAGCATCTAATGTCAGTCCTACCACTCGCCTGCCTACAACAATCCCAGGACTTGTCTGCTTGCCTGCACCAAATGGAATTAGCTCGAACCCCTCTCTCTCACTGTAATATTTTGAAATAAAGAAAGAATGTTTAATAGAAAAGGACAATAATACCCTTAGAAGAGTAAGTTTTAGGTATGCATGGATGAAGGACATTTTAGTAATTGAACACGTAGTTGATAAAAATAAAAAGTAGAAACAAAGAAAGAGAAGACGTCTTCTCGGTTTTGAAGAGAAGGAACTGTAAGAAAGAAAAGAGAAAAAAAAATAAGATTTATGTTTCAGTTAGCATAATTTTTTGTATTAATTAAGATTATAAATTTGTTGAAGATTAGGGTTTTGAAGATTTTATTTTAGATTTAATTAATGAATTGATTAGAATATTAGAAATTAATTATTATGAATAATGGTTTATTTAGTTTATCTTGAGTTATAGTTCATTTAAATAATGAATTTAAATTAGATTTTTTAGTAAATTATTGGGTGATGTGTGGAAAAATTTGGTTTGAGATTGAAGATTAAATTTAGTTTGATTCTTTAATATGTGAAAATTATAGTTTAGTTCTTGAATTTTAAAGAAATTATAATTTGGTGATTTTTGGTGGGATTGAGAATGAATTATGGGAAAATTTTAATAGAGTTATGAATTTATATTATTTTTAGTTTGATCTTTTGATTTGATAAAATTATAATTTGATCCTTAAAATATGAGAAAAATCCAGAATGGTTCTAGTTGTAATTTTAGCTTTTCAAATTGATTTGATGAATAATTAAGGTTTTTTTTATGAATTATTATAAATTTTTATGATTTATTTTCTTTTAAATTAGATTTTGAAAAAATCATTTGATGTTTAGGTTCTTGTAAAAAATGACAGTTTCATTCATATAGTTAAAATTTATAATATTTTTAATTTAATTATCTAATTTGATAAATTTATAATCTGAACCTAAAAATCTGAGAAAAATCTAATATGATCCCTAGTTGTAATTTTAGTTTTTCAAATTGATGTGATGAATAATTGAAATTTATTTGATAAATTATTATCCAATTTTATGATTTTTTTATTTTAAATTGGAACCATTTGATTTTTAGGTTTTTGAAAAAAATGACCAGTTTGGTTCATGTAGTTATGAATTTATAATATTTTTAGTTTGGTCTTGTGATTTGATAAAATTATAATTTGATCACTAAAAAATCTAAGAAAATTCTAAAATAGCCCCTAACTATATTTTTAGTTATTCAGATTGATTTGGTAAATAATTAAGGTTATTTAGTGAATTATTATTAAGTGTTGTGAATTTTTTAATTAGATTAAGGGAAAATCATTTGATTTTTGGGTTTTTGAAAAAAATAACTAGTTTGGTTCATAAATATATAGGATTATGAGTTAGACTCTTAGTTCAGTGTATTAAATGGACTATACATTCTTTTTAAATTATTTGTTGGTATGTCTCATTTTGTATTAAGATAATTTTAATATTCTACTTGCAGAACATCAGTAAAATTACCTTTGATATTTTCTTCCGTATTATTTTTAATTTTAAGTCAAGTGAGTAGATAATTCTCCACATGATAAAGGATTAATATAAATACTCAAGTTGTTGTATGGAATTGATTATTTTCTTGGTAATTCTTGTATTGTTATTTATTTTTTATTTATAATTAAGCATCATCATTTATTCAAACTGAATCTTTGATACAAGCTATTATATACTTCTGAGTTAATAGCTTTTCATTTAATTGGTATCATGAATTGATCTTTAAAATATAAATCTATTTTTTTTTTATTATGATATGAATCTATGGTATATTAGTTAAAATATCTATGCTACCAAAATAATATTAGTTTTTGTGTACATCATATCTATACTTTAGTTGGTTGGAGGAGTCACCAACCTGTGATGATTGGTCATTTTATAGTATAGAGTATCATGTTCGTTACATTTTGATTTTCTAATAAATTTTATCTTATAATATTTTTATTATAATCTATTTGAGAAACTTTCATATATAAACTTAAAGTCATATTTATATATATTCATTATTGTTTTATTACATTATATTTATATATTAAATGTTATCTATTTATTGAATTGTAAAATTCACTATCTTGTTATTTTTTTCAGGTTTATATCTTGTTAATAAACTATTTTTAAAGGATTTTTAAAACTTTTTTTATTATTATAATTATTATTTTTTATGTTTAGTTAGTGCTCTATTTCTTGTATTAAAATAATTAATTTATATTATAAAACTAGTTATATTATTATATTATGAAAAAAATTATTTTATTTAATTAAATAAAAAAATTGTATGTAACTTTGGATTTTCATCGTACATAAACCTTAAGAGAATCTTTGCCTGTGTAAGGGTCATGAATAGAGAAATCAGGGTCGTGACGCTGTGGGATGAATTTGCCTGGATCCACCCAATGATATGGGTCCCACTGAAGGGTCCATGCATTGATCAGTAGCATAGTGCCCCGTGGCACATCAAAACGACCAACGGTACAATATGCAGAAGATTCGTGTGGTAGTACAAGCGGAACTGGCGGATATAATCTAAGTGACTCGTCGTTTATGTTCTGAAGGTAACTTAGCTTCGGCAGATCAGTTTCATCCAAAAAGCGAACCGGTCCCCTAATAGCCGAAGCCCTTTTCATTGCTTCAAAATGCTCAAGGAGAAGTGACATTGCCCATTCCATGGTAGGAGATGAAGTTTCACTTCCAGCAATTAACATTGCCTGCATCCATTTTTAGAAAATGAAGCACATTACATTATTGGAAATGAAAATAAATTACTGTTTCCTTCTTCCTTTTCTTTTCATGTTTTACCCATACAGATTTTAATTATTTTTTTTTTTTTAGATTAACGTGGGTGTCCGGGCCATACAGATTTGAAATGTAGTTGTAGTTATTTTTTATTTAGAAATATATTAAAATAATTTTTTAATTTTTAAAATTTATTTTTGATATTAGCACATTAATATAATTTTAAAATATATAAAAAAATTAAATTTAAATATAATTTTTCACAAAAATCATTTGAACAGTATTGTTGGGTTAAGGTGACAGTGGTTGATATGCAGCCGTAGATTTGTTGATATTAATCCCAGGGAAGGCTGTTATGACGGGCGTCTAATTGGTGTTAATATCTTTGCAATTGTTTAAAGCGTACAATGCAGCCAAATTGGGCAGACTTAACTTTACATCAATAGGAAAAGG